TTTTTTTATAATTTACGTATATATATTTTTTTTGTAATGTAAATGAAAATATTAATTATCCTTATAGTGAACCCTTTTATCTTCAAATCAAGTATTCCGAATCTCATTTAATTTGTTGAATTATAATACGATTTTATAATCCACTTTTTCGAAAATATTTTGCATCTTATATTTATGACGCGGTGACGATGCGGTCAGACAGGCCGCGTTTCGTGTTATAAACGAGATTAGATTGTTAATGTCAATATACAAATCCGTTTCAGTCTAGCTCGTTAAAGGAAAAAAGTTAAACCAAATATCGAAGGTAAAATGTTACTGCAAGAACAAGAAAGAAAGACGTCACGTATCTTGTTTTCAGTTATTGTTTTGTAAAAGGTTTTACGAAATAAGTGAAAAAACATGTTGTCGCGAATAAATGTAATAATCAAATCGTTCGCACTCACTTTTTGAAGAATCTGATGGAAGACTGTCGGCCATAGGAAACAGAGGGCACCACCAAGGGCGATCAGGAAGAGCCCTAGAATTCCAAAGCTGAGGGACTTATTCATCCACGGTCTCATGGTGACACATGTATATCCGCATGCGCCGATCTTCGTCTCCTCAGCATGTGCTCTCTGAACTCGAGCGGTCGGTTTATTTCTCGATCACTTCTCTCGCTCTTGCGTATCTCCAGGCGTTTCGCGCTTCAGAGTCTGTAAGATAAAACGTATCTAATCTACCGGTCAGCGATGAGTTTATGTCGTAGCCGCGTAAACATGTGCGTGTCCGCTGCGTATGCGTAGCGCGTTTCTTTAAGGCAATAGAGTTTCCATCCGACTAAAAATATGTTGACGTCGGCACGAATAGACGCATTCATGGATTCACATGTGTATTGGCATTAGGATTGCGATGTTAAAATTTTCAAAACTAGAACTTACAAGCCAAAAACCCCGGACATTTCGATTGCAACATGTACAAAAATGCGTTTAAATTAATAAAATTGATTAGAATAGTAAATGAATCATTATTTCACGTCTAAATCAAAACAATATTTAGAAGATTTCTTAAAACCTCGGACTCTTATAATTATCCCGGATGCTTTCAGAAAATTCCCCCGGACGTCCCCGGACGCCCTAAAAAAAGGGAACGATGTCCGGGGAAAAGAAGATGGATGGTAACCCTAAGTTGCTATGCATACCAGACATCTGTAAACAGATGTTTAAGGACTCTCAAAAAAAAAAAAGAAAAACTAATCACAAAAATTTTGGGCAAAATGTTAATGAACAAAGCGATTGTTGGAAAGTTGAGAGCTTTATAAAAAAGAGTTACTTTTAGATTTTAGATATTTATAATTAATTATCTGGTGGAATAGATATTTTAAATTTTTGTTATAAACTATACTAAATTATAAAATTTTGAGAGATAAACAAGATTTGTATATACGAATAATCGTAATGGGAAAAACGTTTTGAAAATCTATGTAAGAATATCAAGAAAAATATATTTATTATTCATGTCTGTGTACTTTGATTTGACAGATTGAATAATATATGATTGCATATATGATTGCATGCGTCATTAATTTAAAAGTTAGTATAGAATATTAAATACAGCTTATCCTTCATCTTCTTCATGATCTCTTACATAATAGCTTTTATAATCATTATAATCATACATAATCATTGAATTTGTAATCAATAATTACAAAGCAATTTGAAATTTGCTACAGATTGATCAAAATTAAAATTAATTAATACAAAGAAACTGAATTGATATAAAAAGCATGTTTATAAGATTATTTTAAATGCAAATAAATGTGATATCTAATCTATAGATATGTAGAATGTAATACTATCCTACCTACAAATATAATGTAATCATAGTATTTATTTTTCATAACTTGTTTTAAGATATATTTATTATTTTAAATTATCGTATGATAATATGTGAATTATGCGAAAAAATTGATATAATATAATATTTAAGAAATAATTAATATTTTGTATAACGTCAAATTAATAAATTGTTAATATTGTAAATATTTACATAAATACGATAATATCCTAGTCTATTATATAAATTTTGTATTGAAGTCTATATAAATTAAATGAAAAATATTTTTGTTTAACGTTTTTTTTTATAATTCTAATATTCTTTCTAATATTCGTATTTTAGATTTAAAGAATAGTTAATATAAAATAATGGCATATAAAAGAGTTATGCAATAATAAAATTGCAAAATAGATTTTTCTTGCTAGTCTAATCTTGCATCGAAATATAAGAGAAACAAGAAAAACAAAAACTATATACACTTCCAAATATTTTCGGATATCGCATTTAATAAAAATTAATACATTCAATAATATGAAATGATCGATCAAATATGTAATATGCAAATAATATAAATCACAATAAAGATTCTTTGTATACTAAGTAAATTGATAATGGTAATTAAAGTCTACATATGAATCTATTGATTATAATTTTTTTCATGTTTTATCGCTATGTTTACTTCTTGATTGCTTTATAATTTTAATTTTATTTTGTCATTGTCTATATAAATGTCAAAATAATTTACATTCAAAAGTAAATGTCATTATTATATTTGTTATATTTTGACTATACATTTTGACTATACATTTTTTATTAAATATATATGTAACTTTATCGCTGGGGAGAGATTAATTCAAGATTAATTTTTCTAAAGTAATTTACAGAAAGAACTCTGAAAAATCTTAAATTAAATTAGAATACTTAAAATTAGGCAAATAAAAATAAAATAAATATATAATTTATTTTTGCCAAATAACTTAGTAACTAAATTTATGAAATCTAAATTATAATTATAGAAGATTTATTTAACGGAAAATTTTCTCGAAGTAATTGGGACAATTACAAAAATATAATTTGAAATTCTTGTTGATTATCCTTGTATTATGACGAATATAATTCCTATCGTATCATGTAATTTAATGTTAATTTCATGTGTAATGTGTAATTTTTATATGTATGTGTATACAATGATCGTACAAGGTTATTTCATAACTCGTTTTTTGTCCCACATTATCTATTGCAATATCTATTGCATATCTATTGCATATCTATTGCTTTTATTATGCTCGAATGATGTACTTTTGATATATTATTTTTATCGCTCAAAATTTTTTATAAGAAATTAGATTTTTTATATGTTTTTTCATCACGTGTGGTTTATATAATTACACTTTTTTCTAATTGTCAAAA